TGTGTGTGTGTGTGTGTGTGTGTGTGTGTGTGTGTGTGTGTGTGTGTGTGTGTTTTAATGCTTTATCTGTTTTTGAATACATCACAAATGTATTTCTTTAACTGTCAGTTTATAAGTGCATGTTGATAAAAGAAACCACAGTTTATTTTACAGTAGTTATCCAAGCAGTATGCAAATTAGTAAAGTTAGCTGTAGGGGATGTTTTGGAATGGAAAGCTGTTAGTTGGCCAGTGTCCAGAGTTCTTCATTAAACTTTGGCATCTGGCCTCACGTTAAGGTATTAAGACTGGATTACCATGTCTGTAGAAAGTTCCTCTCAGTTATTCTAGGACATCTTTCTCTTTTTAAAATAAAAAATAAATGTGTTACCTGGATGGGTAAAAATGCGCTGTTCTTATTGTACTCATGTGGTCCTCAATTTTTTTTCTCCAACATTAAATTGTAATCATAAATGGGACGCCAGCGTTTGTTAGAAAGCAGCTGTCAGAGTATCAAAGTTTTCTATTTTATTATTATTTTTTTAGAATGGTTGTATGACTGACTGGATGCTTCTATCAACACCACCTGCATAAGGCAGACATTTACACTATATGTTGTTTTCCAGAAAGCTGTGAGGAGATTTTCCTGTGATGGTTTGCCATCAGCCACAACACAGATGACTGTAGCAGCCACAAGGATTTGATCGGATTGAATTTGTAGGAGAGAGTGGAATAGAGGCGGAGACAGGGATTATTGAGGCTTAGGGCTGTTAATGCCTTGCACTCAGTAGTTCTCTTCTATGCGTTGCTTGTTTGTGCACGCAGAGAAGATGATAGATGGCTTTTCTGTGTTTGGCAGGATGATGACCATGAAGTCACTGGATACTTGGTGTGTCTGTGATATATTTTTTGCTCTCAGTTGAAGTGTGTGAATGTCAAAGATCCAAGGCTTCATGAAGGACCCGTGTCGTGTTTGTGGTGTTCGTCTGGTAGGAAGTCAGTGTCGCTGGATCTTTAGCGCATCAGGGAAGAGGAAGCTGCAAGTCATCCTGTCCCATGTGCTGGGCCGGGAGGTGATTCGTGATGGCCGTGGAGAGTTCCTCTGTGGGAAATGTGTTTTCCAGTTGGAGAAGGTGGTTCAGTTTGACATTAACATCGGCAAGCTGCAGGATGAGCACAGCAGTCAGATCCAGAAACTGCAGGCAGAGAAAGAACACCTGATCCAGTGCATCCGCCATGTCTACAGCAAAAACAACTCAGGAACTAAGCCCAGGTGGAGCGCCAGCTCCAAGGCTTTGCTAAGGTCCTCTGGGGCAGGTAGTCCTGATGATGAAGCCTCGTGTCATGAAGGTCTGCAGTATATGGAACGTGAGAGTGCTGAGGGGGAGAACCGCATTAGAAGGTGTGTGAGTCTGGATAGAATTGTCAGTAAAGGGGTGTTACCTCCACGCTCAAGTCTTCGTAGCAGCAGACCAGGATCTGCAGCAGGGCTTGATGGCTTTATGAAGAATATTGGACTCGCAGGCACTCGTCACTCTTCACAGAGCATGTACCTTGACCTGGTCCAACGTAAGGGCCCACTATCCAAACATAGATTCAAAGCTCGCTCCACATCTCTGCAGTCACTGAGTCAAGACTTTCCCTTAGACACACTTCTTGACCCTCCACACAAACGAAAACTGATAGAGCCCAAGGTGTTTGCTGCTGCTGGATGTGGAACTACCAATGATCCAAGAAGAAAAGTTCAGCCAAAAATACTGCTCCACAACTCCTCAAGTCAGCCACCTATACTCTCTGATGTGATCCAAATCCTGCGTTGCATCTCCAGACAACACTTGTCTGCCCCTGCAGGCAGTCGTATTCCTGTACTGAAGAGGTTAAATGTTAGCTCTGTCATTACCAGAGCCAAATTCAGATATAGAGAGGCAGAATGGAAGTTTCTTCATGACCTTGCAGAGGAATTTAATGATGAGTATGCTCCTGTCAGAGGAAAGGTAGTTAATGTCCTTCTTCTTTGTGGGTAGATCTCTGTACTTGTGATCTAAAATGTGACAGACAAATGCTTTGTTGCTTAATGCTGTTTTGTTTTTTTCTCCTTTCATGTGTGCATTTTTGGAATTACTAAGAAGGTTAACATTATGAGATTAGAGTCCATCAACAAAATGCTTACTGAGGAGCTCAATCATATAAAAAACACCAATGAAAATCTGACAAAAACATTGGAAGATTCTGAGAATCAAAACAAGGTAAACAATATTATTCCAAAATATACATTTTCTTAGCTCAAATGAAAAGTTGTTTTGTATGAAATTTCATGCTGCTTAATATCAACAGAGCCTGTCGGTTAAGTTAGAGGAGAAGGAGAATGAACTAGACTCTGAGAAGAAAAATGCATTGAAGCGAGATAAAACAATCCAGGGCCTTACACAGGTCCTCGGAAAAAAGGAAAAAGAGGTAAGAAAAAAAATGTTTTTTTGAACAAACTTAATGTAATTTAGAATGAAAGACATAATTATTAATATTTTACAGTCAGTATGCTGTACCATCCATTGTTCTAAAAGGGATTTTGTTTGTATGTTCTACAGATTGAGGAACTTTGTCAGCAGATTGAAGACAGAGATGATGCTTTGACCAAGGCTAGAGAGGCAGCACATAAAGCCCAACTACAGAAATATCAGGCAAGTCGTGAGCACTAACGAAGCATCCACATTTAATTCAACATGTCAGCGTCATCTGAACGTTTATGGCTCACTGCTCCATGTGTGCCTGTATATTCATTAAGATAGCTTAAATTTAAGAATATTAAATATAAACAAACTTGGCTTGTTTTCCTCAGGGAGCTGAAGAGCACCAAAGCTTGTTGATGGAAAAACAAACAGAGTTGGCTCAACTTCAAGGGGAGCACCATGTCAAGATTCTTGAAGCTCAAAAACTTCAACGTGGCCTGGACAGGAAAGAACAAGAGCTGGCTGACTTACAGCAAACCAAGGACCAGCTAGAGGTGGAACTGGAAGACCTGCAACAACAGAAGAAGAAAGGAGACAAAGCCCTAAATGTAAAATAGTTTAATGTTGTCTACAGGGTTGGGCAGTATTGATTTTTCATACCACAGTAAAACCTTCAGAAAATATTGCAGTATACAGTATTATTGGGAGGGGTGGGGGGGTCGCATGATTGGTCAAGTGTTGAGTAATTAATAATTAATGGAGAAACTGAGCATTTACGAACGTATAGAACCAGAGAGAGGCATGGGAAAAAACTCTGCTGTTCTGACACTGCCTGTCACTCAATTAATCTGNCCCCATAAAAGAATGTTTTACATTCTAGTTTTCATGGTAGCCTTGTGGAAATTCACGAGATATTTGGCGCATCACTTCAAGTGACTACTACACTACTACTGTCATCATTTTTATATACCTTCACCATATTTTTTACATAATTACCGTCCAAGACTAGTTGTCTGTTTTTTGTTTTCAGAAAATATTGTGAACAGTCTCATCTGCTCTCTATAATTTTTTTCTCAAGGATCTTAACAATCATCTGAAGAAGCTAAATGGTGAGATGAAGGAAAGGGAGAGTGCTCTTGAGCAGCAGTACCAGGAGCTGCTGGACCAGACAAAAAGAAAGCTGCAGACTCATGAAGCCACCATCCAGAGACTTACAACAACCCTGGCTGATAAAGAGCAGCAGCTACAAGTAAAATGACTTCTACAGATTTTCACCAAAAGATGAAATCTCTCTTTTTATTGTTTACACATTTCTTTATCGTTTACTTGAACATAATTTTTAACAATGTCATGCCATGTTTAACAGGAGTACATAAACATGATCAGAGACTTGGAGCAAAGCAAAAGTCCTGGCAGTAATGACAGCATGCTTAACAAACTGCGGCAAAGGCTGAAAGAAAAAGAAAATGCTCTGGGTTGGAATTTTTTGGTTTTTTTTTTTTTTTTTTTTTTTTTTTTTTTGTGACGGTCTTTGGGTTGACTGATTTGATTCAATCATTTTTATGTTTGCTTTATTACAGCAAGCACTGGATGAGAAATTTGCTGCTGTCGAGGAGAAAGACAACGAGATTCACCAGCTGCAGCTGTTACTAAGAGAAAAGGAAAGGGACTTGGATAGACTGAATAATTTACTCACTCATAATGAGGAAACCATTAATGTAAGTAGTTTTAATCTTGTTTGAGAAAAAATTGAAGCTAAAATCAAGTAAAAAATATACTGTTTTGAGTTTTTCTTTATTATTATTATTTTTTTTTTTCTTAAACAGAATTTCGACAGCGTAATCAAGGAGAAGGATGTGGAGCTGCAGCATCTTGCAAACACTTTAAAGAACCTCCAGAGAGCCAAGCAAGATGTAGAAGATAACTTAAACAGATCTCTGAGAGAGAAAGACTCTATCATCAACCAGCTGCAGCTCTCGTTGGAGGGAAAGTCAAAAGATATGGAAGTTAGTTTGCAAATTTCTGTTTCACATCCCTTCAGCTGTATGTTCAGTCACTGTGCTTGTGTTCAACGTGTTATCACCTCAGCTGTGTCCTGAGGTGCTTCTGCGTTTTTCTCTAAATCTGCCACTGTTTGTAGGAAATGTCTGAATCAATGCTGAACCAGTCACAGACACGTGAACGGGACCTCGCTGAGCAAATGGGCCAGAGGTTAAAGGTCACAGAGGCCATGTTGGCTGAGGCTGTGAAAGCCAGAGAAAGACTAGTAGCTGACAATGAGAGTGCCGTGGAAGGACTGTTGGCTACAATTAGCAGCAAGGATCAACTTCTTAAGGTCAGTATTTACCCACAGAATGCTTACAGATCTCTATAGAAATTTTATGTTTGAAAGAAACTTGATAAATAAGAAAATCATAAAATAATGTGTGCAAATTAAGCATAAAGACAGCTCAAATATATATTTTTATACTGACATTGATACAAATAAACATAAATATGTGCAGCAGAGGAAGACCTCTTAACTTGTTTCTTTGATCTGCTGTTCTGTTCCCAAGGAGTCTGCTGAGCATTTTAACCGCATGCTGTCTGAACGTGCGCAAGAGATTCAGGAACTGAAGAAGCAGCTGACTGAGAAGCAACAGGAGCTTGCTAATGCCGAGAAGCAAAGCTCCTCAACAGCCCAGAAGAGTTATTTAGAGACGTCAGAACTCAAAGCTCTTCTTGCAGAAAAAGACAGCCTCATTGACGTAAGATCCTCAGGGATTTATCTCGTTCTGCTTTTCAGCTGTGCTTCACTTAGAATATTGCCATGGAGGTGTTAATTTATCCAAAGAGGATAGAACAGTTTTACCTCCATTATCTGTCCAGAGTTTTTCTAACATGTTAGATTTTCTTGCATTTTAATATTAAAACCTGCAGAAGCTTCTGCAGCGTGGTCAGGAGAGGGACCAGTTCCTGGCAGAGATGAGTCAGAAGGTGGAGCACGATCATGTTTTAGAGCTCAGACAAACCATCCAGATCATGCAAGAACAGCTGGATGAAAGGGAAGGTGAGTCTATAAAACTTTAAACACTGGATATTTAAAGATCATGTTGCTCTAACATTTTTTTTTCTTATAAACTGAAGCTGAGCTGTCCAGGAGAAACAGTGAGGATAATCAGGAAAACTATCTGCCTTCCAAGAAAACAGTTGTTGTCCTGAAGGAGGAGTTGGCACAGAAAACTGAAGCACTCAACAAAGCTCTGAAAAGAGAAAATGAACTGAAGGTTAGTGAGTGCAATTAGGTTCTTATGCCCATGATTAAAATTGAGTTATTCAGAGTGTTTTAAATTGTATTTCCATTCTTTTATTTTCAGATTTCTCTTGCTGACCTCCAGTCATTACTGTCTGAGCTTGAGGGTCGCAGTGAAGGTCAGGCTGCTAACATTGAGTCATTGACTGCCACTTTGAAAACCAAGGAGGAAATTATCAATGTAAGCTGCTTCTATTCAGGGGCAAACTGGGGTCTTTCATTGCTTTGCTCTAGGTGAAATTTAAACGTAGTAGACTTGTTTTCAACTGAGCAAAAAGTTTTTAATGATCAATTTGTTACTTTAAACAGGTTCTCCACCAGCGTCTCGGTCAGGGAGGTCACTGTCGAGCTGACAACATCCAGGACTGTGTGATTGGCTCTGGTGTAGAGAGGTCCTTACCGGAACTCCCTCAGAGAGAGAGAACGATGATAGGAGGAGATAGCCAGCAAGAAGTAAAGATTTGTTTACTTTCCAATATAAAATATAACAATGCTTTAGATTTAGTGCTCTGCTTTTAATACAAACTTTTTCCCCATAGACTGTACCCAGCTTTGTGGTCTTGCAGCAAGAGCATGAAGCTCTGAACAGAGCCGTTAGAGCAGAACAGCAGCTCTACTCCAGCTTGGTTAGGACTGTGAAGGAGCAGGACAGGTAGGGGGTGCAACATGGTGGGGTCAGCAGAAAGTTAAATGAATCATTTGTTGACATGTGTGACCTAATTTAGGTTGTGAGAATAAACTTCAACTCTGTTGATGCTTCCATGATTTGCAGTGCTCAGCGTCTTCACGCTCTGCAGCTGGAACTGACAGCTGTGCAGCTTCTCAGGCAGCAGCTAGAAGACAGCATCAAAACTAATGAGGAGCTGAGGGATGACTTGGAGCGGGAGATACATAAGGCCAAACTCAGAGAAGGTGCAGTGCAAACACACTGGGTTGTTGATGAGCATGGCAACTAAAAATATATTAAGAAAAAAAAAAAAAACAAGTATGTAAAAATATCAGAATCTATGTCTGGAGCTACACAGGATCATGCATCTCTTGGTTTTTAATTTTTATTCTCAGTGCTTGTATTCAAATGTTGCATCTGGTTGACTAGCTCATGTCCCTCATCTTCTCACTCTTTGGACACACTTGCTCTCTCACTTGTTTCTGTGGTCGTTTGTCCACTTCTCTTGACTTCATTACTTTCTCATCTGCATGTTTTTTTGTTTGTACCAAAATTGCAAATCATTTCTTTGTTGCTAAGTAAATGTATGTTTTGCCATCTTCACCATCTCCACTGTCTGTTCTTTAATCAAATAATAAATAAAGGCTACTGTTAGCCTGTCCTCTCTGTTTCTCACTGTCAGCATGCTGTCTGCTTGTTTTTGACTGTCCATTTAAAGTATTTGTCAAGGCATGACCTCTCTAACAGCTGTCTGCTTACCTAACTCTTCCACCCATCTGTTGCACGATTTCAGTTTTAGCCACATAACTACGTTATTACATAAGACAAGAAAAAAAAAGGTTTTGAAATAGTCTTCTGATAAAACCACATAATGGAAATTCACCTAAAGATGAATATTACCAAAGTCAGTCCTAATTCAGAAAATACTGTGACTTCTGTACTCAAACTTCAGACAGATTGTTTCTGGCACCGAGGTCGCCTTAACAGAACTCCTGTGTCTGTTCCCATTAACGTGTGTGTGCGTGTGTGTGGTCACGCCAGCGTGCATGTTGGGTTTAAGCTCCTCCCACATTACTTTTCACAGAGCGCCAGGTGTATAAGTAGGTCAACTGTAAGTAATGTGCTCCAATTATAGTCTCGCTGCCTGTAACTCAGGCAGAGGGGTTTAATTGGCTTGGATGAATATATA